TTTTGTTGGAACGAATTTACGGATAATTAATTAACGAACGAACGGAGACGTAACAGTAGTTATTCCCTTGACCAGATTTCTATATCAGGAGCTAAACCTACTCCGTATACATAAAACTTTTCATAAATTCTACATATTAATTAAATGGGTAGAAAACATTTAGTTGCGCTTGCATACAACATCAGCGTGTATTTATAGTTCAATCAATGCAAGAGCGATAACATAATTGTTTGTTATTAAGCTGTGTTAATTGGCTTTATATTTGTTCAATAAAATAAACAACAGGCGGTGTCATTTAAAATCACGATTATGGAGAACTAATTATATCCAAGACAAGTTGATTAAATTAAAACGTTTTATCGCTAAAAGAGAACAATATATTTATTTTCCCCCCATGGATCAAAGATATACAACGCTAAAATTATAGGTTCGATTCTCCGGGGTTGGCAGAGTGCATATAACCCATTGGGCAGCTTGTACAAACTGTCTTTTTTTTATATATTTGTTATTTGATATGCAAAAACTTTGTGTTGTAAACATATCCTTAACGAACAAAATAGCTGATAATATAAAAATAAATTGGGGTTTCGATTCCACCTTTTGGACAGAGTAAAAATACCCCTTTGGGTAGCTTTGCGCTAAAATAAAATAACAATAATAATTAAAGTTTGATAAAAAAAAAAAATCAAACTAATTTTGTCCTTGGTGGTAAACTAGCAAAATAATTTGAAAATTGGATGAACACTTAACTCAATACAGTGTTATTGAACTAATAACTATTATATTTTCATAATATAGATGGCACGACCCTTTTGTCAATAATTTCAGTTCTTTTTTTCTCACAATGGGCGGCTCTTTCGAAACATATAACGAGTTTGGGCAAGTTGGAATGATCGTTAAGTTCCAAGATAGTGTTTACGAGATTGGTACTGGTAAGTTGTAAATGTCAATAATAATAGTACTATTTTATCAGTATGGTTTCAATTTAACTCTAACGTACAAAAGTTAATTAAAATGCAACGATTTTATTACTTAATCATGTATACCATTAAAACTAGAAAATAAGTTTTGTATTTTAAAATATGGTAACTTATAAGTACAATGAAGTTTAAAACAAAAAAAGAACACATCGTTAGTCCAGGTTAAACGTCAAACTAGTTTATGTTTACGTAGCTGTACTTTTGACGATTATATCAGTATTGTAAACACTAGAGGGTAAACTGTAAAGTGTAAGTTACTGTTTGACAATTAGATTTACTGATTCATTCTGTGAAAACGTGCTTTCTCACATACACATTATGTGTATAATATTAAACTTTTATTATACTTTTAAATATAGTATTTTAATTTATAGTAAGCCTCTGTCATGACAATTACTCTCTCAGAAGTCAAATTAGACAAAATAGAGAGTAATTACTATTTGGCCCTTCATTTTTAAGGCTCTATACACACACCCACCCTTGACAAAAAATAAATAAAATCCAACCGTTACTTTTCAGAAAATAATTGATTCCATGTTTATAACTGGTTTAAAGTGCTGACCTTGATTACTGCCAGTGACAATACGTTCAATGATGTAATCCCTGTAGAAAAACTATAATGTCTTAGTAAGAGACAAGTCCAACTTTTTCAAATATAAAATTTGTATCATGTTAACCAACTGGATTCATAATACAGTACAATTTGCCACCAAAAAAATCAGTTTTTTTATTCTATTGATCCTCCACCACCAATAATTTTGTAAACTTATTTAGAACACCTCTTACCCTTTCTCTCATGACAAAATAGAGATCTTAACCTGCCCCTGTAAAATAACCCTTCACTCCTTGGAACCATCCTAGTAGCCTTCCTCTGAAGCCTTAACAATAAGTCAATATCCTTTCTTAGATAAGAAATCAGAAATGTAAACAGTATTCTAATTGAGGCCTAACTATTTAAACTTGGGATATGTGTAAAAAAAGAGAGTTTTTAATTTCAATTCAGTATTATCTATGGATACACCAATAAAATTCTAGTACCCTTAAAACTAGCAAGAGAGCACTGATTTCATAGCTTTATTGACTTATCCACAACTATTCCTAGATCATTTTCTTTAAGCATGCTATTGAGTGGGTTGTCATCTATATCATATGAAATATGTGAACCAAATTATGATAACCCAATTTTATTACATTGCAGTTACTATAATTAAGACTCCCAGTGGGTTAACTGTAACTATGAAGGCTTTTAATGCTAAAAACCAGGTTTTCATACAAACAGTGGGCATGGCACAGAGCTCATTGTGTAAACAACTGTGTTTGAAATATATGCCCATATGTGGTTCTATAGGACTTAATTGATTATAATATATAGGGAAATTTCATTAAGAATAACGTGTATTTCAATCAATTTCTGCCTGCAATTTGTCAGTTTTACCCTTTATTTTAAAGACTGACAGCAACAGGCACTGCTGGGAGGTCTGTTAGTATAAATACAAAAAGGTCCAGGCACCAGTTTCCAAGGCACTCCAATAGCAACAGTGGTCTGTTTTGACTTGGCTCCATTAATAGTCTTTTGCTTTCTGCAATTAAACCATCTTACAAGGCTATTCATTATTCTTTCCCCAGCTTTTGCTGATATAACTTTCTTAGCTAAGACGTTACTGCTTGTGTAGATGATAGTGAAGGTATGGATTTGCTATATCTATTTTCAAAAAAACATTTGACAAGGTGGCATATAAAAGTCTTAAGAAATTATATCTATGAGTATGAGGAATATGTTAACTCATTGAATCAAAAAATGGCTGGAGGAAAGAAACCAGAAGTTTTTTATGAATGGGATTCAGTCAAACTGGATTAATGTCACAAGCAGGGTACCTTAAGGCTCAGGGGGCTAGGACATTT